CCAGTGGGTGAACCTCTCCTAAATCTAGAAAGCGTAGCAGTAACAAATCAAGCTCTTACAAGAGCTTACTCTGGGGAGTAAGTGATTATAGCAATCCCCAGAGTGTAGGTATCCCTTCCCCCAAGCATGAGCCAAGGCTTCAAGAAAGGTGCAAGTAGGTCTGGTTTGTTGAGGGCTACCTGCCCGGTATTTATGCAAGTGTCCACCAGGTGGACATTCCCCTAGGGGACCTGATGGAACAATGGGACACATATTGGTTATTAGCCAATCACAGACAAAACAAACAAAACACTCCCACGGTGACATCACAATCCCTCCTCTCTATCCTGGAGATAATTGGGAAGTAATCAAATTATCTCCAAGGACAGAGGCAAGACTCCATTAACCACATGGTTGCAAAAAGACATAAAATTACACAATGTTACAATTACCACATAAAACATATACAAGCAACATATCCCCAGATAGCTTAGATCTGAGCGCACATTATTACCGAATGGCGCTCAGATCACCTACATACAGTTCAATCGCCATGGAGCCAAAGTCTTTTGTTACACGAATAGGCTCCATGGCATAGCTATCTGGGGTAGCACTACTCACATACTGAAAGTCCCGAACGCCCCGGCAGAAATACACAAATAAACCATTCTGCAGGGTAAAATACAGCTATCAGCACAGGGGCCATAGTCGGAAGACAGGAGGCTAGCCAGTAGTTCCCTCCAGGCACAAGTGGCGAAGGGCACTTCGTCACACCCTGCTAAAAAATGCCCACCGGGTGACCCTGAATGCATAGGCCACCGATAAGACCGCTTACAGTGTGGGCCTCTGGGGCAGCCACAGCAGGGGCTCAGGTGTAACTGGGCCTGGGGCAGCTGCCCCGTTTGCCTAGCGTTAAAGACAGCCCTGCAAATAACCCAGATGCTGCTTGGACTACACTGACAGGGTGGTTTTCCTGTGGAGATCTGCTGTCTCTCTAATCAGACCAAGACCAGAAGAGTCCTGCATCAGCTATCTTGAAGTCTATCCAGTGAGTGCTACAATCTCTAGCCTGCCTAGGAGTGATGTGTAGCAGGTGAACGGCAAGATAATAGTACTTAAAAAAAGCAAAGTCAACCCCACCAAAGTGGGTAGCAGTAGAACTGCTAACTTCAACCTGGGCCCTGTCCACCCCACACAAACAACATCAGCAAGAAATCCAAAAAGGTAATGTATGCCCTTGGAAGTTTAACGGGGATTATCTGCATGAGGTAGAAGGCCCGGGGAGTCTGTTCATTTTGACTGCTTTAAGGCGGCTAAACCAGAATATGTTTAGTTTGCTCCACGACTGCAGGTCTGACTGGATGAACCAGAGAAATGGAAGAAAATTTCTTGAGCGCAGTTGGGCTTGATCTTTGTGCATGCAAATACCAAGGTATTTGATCACTTCCAAAAAGAAATACCATCCAGGTTGACCAAATTCCAACTGGAATCAGCTTTGGTAAATATGAATATTGCCATTCCAGTCAGAATTTGGCTATTTTCAAGAGATTTTGACCATCTGGACAAAGTCCAGTGTTTATTGAATAACCCTGAAACTTAAATAATGGCGAATTTCAAATTTCAGTCCATTGTAACTGGCCTGCAATACATGGCGTGTATGTTTTTTTTTTTTTAATAGTTTACTATAGAACATTTAAATATAATGACTTACATCTTTACCAATTAAGTCCTCCTGGTTCTCTACAATCCCCCAAGGAGCAATACCGATGGTGCAGATCTTCCCTCTTGATTTTGACGCATGGTCTTTCAATGCATCACCAACATGGCGAATGACTCCTAAAAGAGTATAGATGACATTAATAGTTTTGGTCAACATTTTGCTAATTTTACATCCCAAAACGCAAAAAACAATAGTGAAACACATGGGAAAGTAGTATTATGACAATTTATATCAGTGGAAAAAATATGACAATAAACACTGTAGTAAACCCTTCATAACGGATAATGTTCCATAACTATCATGATATGTTTGCATTTACTCATCATTTTAGTCTTTACAGTAATATTGGAACTGAATTTAAGGAATATGGAAATCGTCTCATTCAGTTAAATAACTAATTTTTAAGAATAGGTGGCATATCCGATAATGATAACCTATAAATTGTGGGCATATTATCTTTTTGGGTTGTTTGTATTAATGTTATAATGTCCTTTAATCAGTGCAACACCATATGGTAAAAGTTCAGGTTTGTTGTCTATTACTGACAGTTATGATTTGTCATTTTAATTTAACAGTATTTGGAGTAAACAAACAAGCACTGAGCAGAATTTGTTAAAATGTGAAAGCTGTGATTGAAAATTAAAAAAATATATATTTCTGCATCTCTATGAAAACAACAGAGATAAAGGAAATGAGATAACACAGAAAATAATTATTTTTCTTCTGTGTATAGGGAAGAAGAATCTTTAGCTGTAGATTTGCAAATCCCTGTTACAAAAGCCTTGCAGCAAACAGGTGATTGGTTAAAACAGGAAAAGTGTTCCAGAAATGAAATAAAGTTAATGTAAACAAAGCCCCTGGGCCAGATGGTATTCACCCCCGTGTGTTAAGGAGTTTAGTGTAGAAATATCCATAAAAGCATACATTTTTCAGGATTCTTTTCTCTTAGGAATTGTGCCAGAGTATTGGAGAAGAGCATATGTGGTGCCTATATTTAAAAAGGGTTCAAAAGCTCAACCCGGAAAATACAAAGAGCAGGTGGGAACTTATTTTAAGAGCTGATAAGGGATAATATTCAATAATTCATTTTTATCAAAAATATAGTTGGCAAGAATCAACATGGTTTTATGAAAGACAGGTCATGACAAAGTAATTTAATTGCATTCTACGAAGAAGTTATTAGAAATATAGATCAGGGTGATCCGGTAAATGTAATCTACTTGGATTTTGCTAATGCATTTGATACAATTCCACACAAAAGGTTACTATTAAAATGGAAATCAGTTGGTTTAGATGAAAAATTGTGTTCTTTTTTAGAACATCAGCTTAAAGATAGAGTGCAGAGAGTTGTTGCAAGTGTAAAATTTCTCTTTAATTCAGCGGTGCCGCAGAATGTTTCCCTTGTGCTATGATTATAGCACCGGGGAAACAGCCGGCTGGCTGGGAGGAAGTGACAGTCTGTTACTTGCTCCCAGCATCATCCGGGGGGGAGAGGAGCATGAAGAGCTCTAGACCCCTCTATATCACCAGCAGAACTCCAAGCCAACCTCCTGGACACACAAGGTAAGCTAACAGAAGGGGGTGGCTGGATATATTAAAAAATCCTGTGTGTATATGTATGAGTGTTTGTATGTATGAGTGTGCATGAGTGTGTGTATGTATGAGTGTGTGTTTATGTATGAGTGTTTGTATGTATGGGTGTGCATGAGTGTGTGTATGTATGAGTGTGTGTGTGTATATGTATTAGTGTGTGTATGTATGTATAAGTGTGTGTTTATGTATGAGTGTTTGTATGTATGGGTGTGCATGAGTGTGTGTATGCATGAGTGTGTGTGTATATATGTATGAGTGTGTGTATGTATGAGTGTGTGTGTGAGTGTGTTGTGTGCATGAGTGTGTGTATGAGCGTGTGTGTATGAGCATGGGAATGTAAGAGTGTGTGTATGTATGAGAATGTGCATCAGGGTGTGCATTTGTGTGTGTTTGTGTGTCAGGGGTGCATGTGTGTGTTTCAGGGTGTGCATCTGTGTGTGTGTGTCAGGTTGTGCTTCTGTGTCAGTGTGTGTATGTGCTTCTGTCTGTGTGTGTCTGTATCATGATGTGTGTATATATCAACGTGCGTGTGTGTGCGCCAAGTGTGTATCTATCTATGTGTGTGTACGTGTCGGTGTCTATATGAATTTGTGTGTATGTATATCTGTATAAGTATGTGTGTATGTGGTAGTGTATGTACATACATCCAAGATGTTGTACACCAGCACAACATACAAACACACTCCTGCACACTCCTGCAATCTAACACAAATATTACATACAAACACACCCCTGCATTCAAACTCCAAAAAGATATACAAACAAACCCCTTCAATCAAACACAAACACTTCACACAAATGTACACCCGCATTTAAAAGTGAACATAACATTCAAACACACCCCTGCAATCAAATGCAAACATTACATACAAACACACCCCGATAATAAAACACAAAACTATATACAAGCACCTCTTCAAACACCAACACTGTACATTACCCTATAGCGCCAGTAAATGCCACAGCGCTGTACAGATATACAACCTAGAAATTTTGACTTGGGGTGCCTTGGTAAAATATTGGAATATTAAGGGCACCTTGAACCTAAAAAGTTTAGGAACCCCCGCTTTAATCTATTTATACATTATCTTGAAGTGAACACTGAAAGTAATTTGCCAGTGTTTGCAGATGGCATATAACTAGGCAAAAACTAGGCTAGACAATACAGTTTGAATGTGATATAACTTCTCTACAGAGGGATTTGGATACATTGGGGTCTGGGCAGGCAAGTGGCAGATATGATTCAATACAGATAAATACAAAGTCATGCATTTTGGAATAAGGAGACCACAAGCAACTTGTACTTTAAATGGGGTACAGTTAGGGACAACATTGAATGAAAAGGAATTGGGAACAATTATAGATCACAAACTAGGCAAGAATATACAATGTCAGGCTGCCTTTGTGGATAAAAAGATGTATTGATTCACATGATCAATATATAATTTTGCCTCTTTACAAATCAATGGTAAGGCTCCACCTTGAAGGAGTGGTGCAATTTTGGCCACCAATTTTAAAAAAGCATACTGCATAACTTGAAAAAGTGCGGAGGCGAACGAGCAAACTAGTAAAGGAGATGAAAATGATTAATTACAATATACAAATATATACAGGGTCAGTGCAAACTATTTGCTAACTAGTGATGTCGCGAACGGTTCGCGAACTTGCCGCGAACGGTTCGCCGCAGTTCGCGGCAAATTCCGGTCAGCTGACACATCCCTGCCAATCTCCGGCAGACCCTCTCTCCCAGACCCTCCTACTTCCTGGACAGCATTAAAGCTTCAACATGGATGCAGTCCAGGAAGTAGGAGGGTCTGGGAGGGAGGGTCTGCCGGAGATTGGCAGGGATGTGTCAGCTGACCGGAGTTCGCCACGAACGGTTCGCGACATCACTAGTGCTAACCTGTTTAGTAGCAGGAATATACAGCAGACAAGAGGTCAGTCATTGTGACTGGAAGGAAGGTGTTTTCGTTTACAGCAGGGTTTTTTTATAGTAAGAATAATAAAGATTTGAACTTCTCTGCTAAAGATGTTGATTTATCCGATTCTATAGATCAATTTTAAAAAAAGGCTTGGGTGCTTTTTTGCATAAACAGAATATTCAAGGTTATATTCGATATGAATATAAACAGGTTGTTGATCCAAAAAAAGAAATCTGATTGCCATTCTGTTTTTGGATGAACAGAATAAAAGCTAGGGTTTTACGGTTCAACTTAATGGTCTTAGTATTTTTTCAACCTTGAAGACTATGTAACTATGTAACTGCTGTCTGCAATCTTCCTGCTGATAACTTGCCAAGTGGACAAAACCTGATGCTTCATTTTTTCTTGAACATTATGGAAGCAGAGTCTCCAGCACATAGCAAAACATATTAATCGGTTAGGTACATCATGAATGTGCATTCATATTTCTCTTATCCTAGGCAGTCATATATAAAGAGCAGTGATGTCCCGAACCGTTCGCCCTCCCACCTCCAGCTGCATTCTTAGTGAGCTGTCCAGGAGGTGGGAGGATCTGGGAGGGAGGATCTGCTGCTGATTGGCTGGAATGTGTCTGCTGACTGTGAGGTACAGGGTCAAAGTTTACTCAATGATGAGTCTGTGGCGAACCGTTCGCGGCGAACCGTTCGGGACATCACTAATAAAGAGTAATTCTACAGTCATGTTCTAAATGTGGAGCAATAACTATAGGAACCAGTGTTGATTGCTCCACCTTTAGAACTTTCCTAAAATGTGTTTTTATACAATACAAATAGGTAAAGTACAAACAATGTGTAAAAACAAGCATGTTCTTAAAACACATACATAATTCCTCAAGAATGATCACAAAATAAATAAAACATTAATTTCCCAAGACAAAAGAAAGCACACACACACACACACACACACACACAAGTAAACATTCCAATATGCAGGCTTTAATATTTGCTTAAAATGAACACTGTAAGTAAAATAACCACTACAGCATGCTAAAGTAGTTATCCTCAGTATAAAGAGTCAATCTGTTTTAGAATATTTGGCTTCTTACCTGCCACCCTGACCAGGGCCAGACTGGGAAAAAATTGTCACGTGCATTTTTTAATCACAGCGGCCCACTAAGAAGGGGGCGGGGCAGAGAGGGTGTGTTTTGACATCACCAATGACAAGCATGCCCCCTCTCAAAGTGCGCATGTTGGTTCAATGCTCTTCCAGGGCAGACCATGTGCAGAGCTCTGCTGAAGAGCTCTAGCATGAGAAAAGGATCCTGTAATTGTTTTGCACAGCGCAAGCAAATTTAATAACATGCTTGCACTGTGTTTCAACTTGTCTATGGTGTATCTATAAATGGTATACCAGGAGACAAAAGGGCCAGGAAAAGGTATTGTGCAGTTTGGAGCCTGCTTGTGGGATTGCGTGTGTGTGTAGAGTGAGTTGGTTGTGGAGTGATATTGTGTAATAAGGTCGGTTTTAGTTGTGTTGTGTTTGTGGTGTAATGTAATGCATGTGTGGCTAGGGGCTGTAGGGAGTGTGTATTTAGGGGACGTAGCAATTGTGTGCATACAGGCTATAGTGTGTGTGTGAGGGTAATGTGTGTGTGTGAGGGTGATGTGTGTGAGTGCTGTGTGTGAGGGTTTTGTGTGAGAGCAGGCCTGTCGCTACCGGGCAGGCAAACCAAGCGGGGCCCCAAGCAGAGCCGGTGCTTCCTATAAGGCTGCAGCAGCCTAAGCGCCACCTCTGTCCTCCCCTTCCCTGTAGCGTGGCCAAGGTCCTCTTCCTCTTGGCTGTCAGTCTGGGTACCGCGCGGTACAGGAGATTCAGTTTCCTGTTCCCGGCCGGACTGACAAAAAAGTGCACACTGAGTGCTCACCGACAGCCAGGAGGAAGAGGAGCTCGGCCACGCTAAAGGGAAGGGAAGGTGAGAACTGAGAAGAACATAGTGAGGAAGAGTAAAAAGAACAGAGGGAGGGGAAGGGGGGAGTAAAAAAAACATGGAGGGAGTAAAAAAACATGGGTGGAGAAAATAAACATGGGAGGGAGTAAAAAGAACTTAGGGAGGCGGGGAGGGGAGTAAGAAGGACATGGGGGGAGTAAGAAGGACACGTGGGGAGGGGAGTAAGAAGGACGGAGGGAGTTAGAAGGACACAGGGAGGGGGGAGTAAGAAGCACCGGAGGAGGGGAGTAAGAAGGACACAGGGAGGGGGAGTAAGAAGGGTGGAGGGGAGGGGAGTAAGAAGGACACAGGGAGGGAGGAGGGGAGTAAGAAGGACACAGGGAGGGGGAGGGGGTAGTAAGGAGGACACAGGGAGGGGGAGTAAGAAGGACACGGGGGAGCAGTTTTAGATAATTTGCACATGTTTGTGAGAACTGAAACATTTTAATGTTAGTGTGTGTGTGTCTGTTAGTATGTGTCTGTGTGTGTGTGTGTGTGTGTGTGTGTGTGTGTGTCTGTTAGTGTGTGTGTGTGTGTGTGTATGTTATAAGTATGTTGGATTTAGTTATTGTGCACTTTTTAATGTATATTTAATTTTATGGTACAGTGGTGTTTTTTTGCAAATGTTCAATTGTTGAAAATGTTCAAATTGTATGCACATTATATGCAACAGCAGTATTTGCACTGTAAATATTTTTTGTTTATATAAAGTGTGGGTGAACTTAAACTGTATGGCTATGCTGTGGTTCCTGTAGGCTTTGCGCGCGTCTGGTGGGGGGAGGGTAGGGTTGCGGGAGCCTCCATGTCGATTTTGCTTGGGGCCCCCAAATTCCTTCAAACGGCCCTGTGTGAGAGTGATGTGTGTGTGATGGTAATGTGTGTGAGAGAGTGTTGTGTGTGAGGGTGATGTGTGTGAGAGTGGTGTGTGTGAGGGTGATGTGTGTGTGTGTGTGTGTGTGTGTATGTGTGTGTGTATGTTAGGGCGGATTGTGTGGTGGGCAGTGGCGTACATACCAGGGTCGCAGGGGTCGCGGCTGCGACCGGGCCCGGCCCACCAGGGGGCCCGGCCGCCCCTGCGACCTGGTATGTACGCCCAGGGCCAGCCTCTTCCCCTGGGGGGCCCAGGAGCCGACCACCCCAGGGCCCCCCGAGGCTGGCCCTGCTGACCCCAGCTGGCGGGTGGCTGGTCGGGCAGGCGGGCGCGCGAGGGAGCACTCAGTCTTCCGGCACCGACATCCCTACGCAGCGCGCGAGGGAGCTGAAGAGGAAGCACTGAGTGCTCCCTCGCGCGCCCGCCTGCCCGACCGGCCACCCGCCCAGGAGCCCAGCAGCAGCACCACTGGACCCCAGGGAATCCCCCCAGCACTCCAAAAGGTAAGGAGGCTGGGGGATTATTAAAAAAACATGTGGTGTGTGAGTGTTGTGTGTGTGTTAGTGTGTGTGTGTGTTAGTGTGAGTGTTAGTGTGTGTGTTAGAGTGTGTGAGTGTTGTGTGTTAGAGTGAGTGTTAGTGTGTGTGTCTGCTAGTGAGTGTTAGTGTGTGTGAGTGTTAGTGTGTGTGTTAGTGTGTGTCTGTAGTGAGTGTTGGTGTGTGTGAGTGTTAGTGTGTGTGAGTGTTAGTGTGTGTGTCTGCTAGTGAGTGTTAGTGTGTGTGAGTGTTAGTATGTGTGTCTGCTAGTGAGTGTTAGTGTGTGTGAGTGTTAGTATGTGTGTCTGCTAGTGAGTGTCAGTGAGTCTTTGATGTCTGTTAGTGAGTGCATGTTTGTCAATGAGAGTGTATGTTTTGTAAGTGAGTGTGTATGTATGTCTGTCGCTGAGTGTGTCTCTGTCAGTAAATGTGTGTGTCTGTTAGCTAGTGTGTATGCGTCTGTAAGTGAGAGTGTGTGTGTCTTCAGCACTTACCTTTCTCCAGCGCCGGACTCCCTTGGCGCTGGGGATCCCTCGGCCTCTCAGCTCCGAATGTGACCGCGCACGCATTCAAACCGCCCATAGGAAAGCATTACTCAATGCTTTCCTATGGATGTTCAGTGTGCTCCTCTAGCTGCTGTCAGTGAGACAGCCACTAGAGGCTGGATTAACCCTCAGTGAAACATAGCAGTTTCTCTGAAACTACTATGTTTTCAGCTGCAGGGTTAAAACTAGAGGGACCTGACACCCAGACAACTTCATTGAGCTAAAGTGATCTGGGTGTCTGTAGTGGTCCTTTAAGTGTGTGTGCATCTGCATGCACTGGCGTACATACCGCGGTCGCAGGGGTCGCAGCCCTGTAACCCCTGCGACCAGGTGCCCACCGCCATGTGTTGCGGCCCGGCTCGCGCGCGGGGGGGCCCACGGATCAATTTTCGCACCGGGGCCCCATGGAATTATATTCATTTTAAATAATAATTAAAAAACAAAACATAACAGGCATTATATTCCTCCTTCCCTTCTTACCTTTAGCCTGGGAGGGGGGGACAGGCACGGTGGTGCCTGGGAGGGGGGCCCTCAGATAGCAGGGGCCCTGCATCGACCGGCCGGGGAGGTCTTGTAACCTCACCTGCCGGCCTCGGCCCATGACCATCGTGACCCACCGGGCATTTGACCAGTGTGCCCGATGGCCAGTCTAAACCTGTCCCTGACTCTACCTGTCCTTATGTAAAACTAGAAGCTCTCTATCTGAGCTAAGCTCAGCGGTGCAGGGCTTTTACTTATTCACTGGGATTGATCAGCTGACACTCTCAGCCAATGTATTGCTCGGGAGAGTTAAAGGAAGCTTCCAGTTCCATATAGGTAGTAGTGGAGGTGGAGATGCCTTACAAAGGTGGGGCCACAGGACCCTTTTGTCACCATAACTACTACAGAATGCTGTAGTGTTTGTGTTGCTTGGAGTATTACTTCAATATAAACAAAGATAACTCTGCAGTTTTATCATTCTTTGGTCTCCCTGTCATGCATTTGAACTTTACCTGT